CTATATTGAAGTATTAGTTTGCAGCCTCAAAAATACGTGTTTGGTAGCAAAGGTAGCTGTGTAGTGATACAGTGCAGAGTGATCCTTTGATCGTCCTCTCATAACTTATCAGACAGCACCACCCACTGGATATTCAGTAAATTACAGTTGGCTTCAAGAATCAGAGAAAGGAAAATCTGTCCATCAGTGTCTTTGATGCTGTACAGTTCAGAAGTTGAAGGCCATAGGTAATATCTGATGCCACTGCACAGAAGGAGACTGGCTTTTATGTCTTATGGGATGCAATAAAAATCCCTTTAGGTGAGTAATAACAGAGGCCCACCACATGGTGATAAATATTCACGGCTGTAACTCAGGGGTGGTCTTGACTGAATTGATTCCACTGTACAATTAAAATGAAATCCTTCTCAGTTCACTTTCATGAATGTCTGTTTTAAATGGGTTGAGTTGTGTTGAAAGCACTTTGTTTTCAACTCTAAAAACAAAATTTACAAAACTGCTTGTACTGTTTGTTGGAATCGGCTCTCCTGTGATCCAAAGTACATTTCAAATCTTTGCTCTGTGTGGAAATGAATTTCAGCCACAAAGAGTACGAGCCACTCTTCTCTTCTTATGCTACTTTTCGTTTGCCAGAAAACCATATCTTTGCAAAGGGAATTTCATATAGACTACAGCAACAAAACATCAATTTGATGTAAATATGGTTAAACCATTTTTGTCGGAGGTTGGACTTAAAATAGGGGTGAACCTGGTTCCAGTCGTCCCCTAGCTTCCCTCACGCTATCTCTAAAGCCGTTTACTACCAACCGTAATCTCCTGTCAAGCAACACTGTGGGGACATTGACTTAATGGAAGTTTGACTAATTTAACAACCCTTCGAGGCGACTTCTTCCTCGTGAGCAGGAAACAGATTAGATGTGGTACGTAACCCAAGGAACAAATGAAACGGGGCCATTCCAGGGGCAGGACTCGATCGGCGCTCGTTTTCAATCCAGGACGTTGGGGATTCCCAGCAGAGAAGCAACGGAGCGCTGCCTCCAGGTCTCCACCTGAGGTCTGACTCACAGAGGCCCTCACAGAAAGCCTTCCAGGATTGTGGGATAAATTGTCTGATATGATGTCCAAAGGTACGCCACGAAGTCCCAACACAGAGGCACAGAATGCAAAAGCCTTCAACAATTTGTGAGTATAACGAAGAGTTAAACAATTGATGTGAAGCACATCAGACTGTGTTGTACGTATAAATGGTGCTGTACAAATGTTATTGTTGTTACATGAATATGAGCCCGGAGGCCCGCAGGCCAGTGCAATTGTATGACAATGTCTTCATTGATTTAGAGGTTTTTAGACTTATTTAGACATAGACTTAAAACACTTTAATCGTCGTGAGAATAAGGATGTGACGTTTGTTTTGATTAACAGTGGCAATTGCAATGTGTGACGTTGGTCGTTTGATGCTGGACTTGTGTTGGGATGTTAGAAGGGAAACATCAAAATATGAAAACGTTGGAATGGAAATGGAAATATTAAACATTGGAACATTAATAACAATACCTGATATGATATATTTTTTTGCATTTGGTGTATTTAAGGCAATCCAGATGGTCACAATTTCTGTTTTTGCATTTAAGAAATCGGTGTTGGTTTTATATTGGTCTAAGGAATCCAGGATCTGTTCATAGATATTACCGTCTTTATAAACACACTTCGAGAGGATAAGATAAAGATAAGATAAGATAAACATGAACTGATAAACCCCAGTTTTAACCTATTGAAACTGACACCGAATAGACTAGACAGACCAACGTGTGTGGACTGGGATAAAGATTAAAGATCAGAATCATAGTTCTAACATTACTCTCCCCTGGCATGCAACACTGTTCGGATATCAACAAAACCTATTTTCAACTCTTTTTATTTTCAAAATATTCTTCAAATGTTTTGATGTGTGAGTTGTACTCGTTTATTATCTTTTAAAAATGGAAGAACTTTGAGACAACAGCTCAAGGTAGTAATTTGTGCCTTTTCACAGACCTAAAAGTGGATGAAAATTATGAAAGTAGTTTCATTCTCCCATAAACAATAATCAATGAAATAATAATATCACCCCACAGGCTCATTACGGTGGTGCACTTTTTTCATTTTGCGTGTTTGTCAAAAGACGCATTATGAAAACATAACTGTCAAATTTGTACGTCGATACACCTGCGTCTATGCTCTGCAAGCTCCAGTAATTAGAGAGGCAGTAATGAAGTAGATGCCAAAAAATAACCTGTCTAATAACCCTCAATCATTTCTTATGAAATCTGCTGTGCATCATGTACTGTATGTACACAGTAAAATAAGCATTAATGCATAAAAAACAAAACTTTTACGTAATATTAGATTTCTAATCCGTTTCCTGTTTCCTATAGTAGACATTACTTTGCTGTGTATACATGCACACACACACGTGCAAAGATATTGTATTCAAGACAGGACAGCACTACCATTGAAGCTCGGCAGCCTTATTAAGACATCAGAGGAAGCAGCAGCTGGCGCCGTGTACAGAGAAAGGAAGGGAGAAAGATGACAGGGGAAGTACGCAGTCTGTCAGAAGCAATGTCAGGTCACTGCTCTCCTCATCTGCTCACAGGCGAGCTCCCTTCATCTTGGCAGATAGCTATTTATGTGTCAAGTTAACCTCCCTCCACGAACTCGGCTGCGATGCCGTGACTGTGCCAGTACAACTACGCTGACAATTCCATAGAGCAATAACACAATTGCAAGGCGCAGGTTTAGAGCTGGGCAACAGCTCTCAGAGTCTTAGTACATCAGCCTCCTTTCACCACTATTGCCGACTTCAGGCTCATAGAACGTGTGGGCAATGCCAATGCCGACACCACAGAAAGATAAACCTCCTTCACAGGAACAGGTCATGGTACCAGAGCCAAAAAGATTCTCATTAAAATAAATGAAAAATGTTACATTTTATCAATTTATGCAATGTTCCCTTTTTAAGATCGAAAGACCATTTGAATTTAAATGTCTTAAGCTTTGGAAGCGTGGCATTGAGTTTAATTTGTCAGCTACTGTTGCTGAATTCCTAAACGTCAGAAGCTTAATCGGTCATAAATTACGCTAATATTACAAAGAATGCATTCATGGTTGTGTTCTGTAATTCAGTATATTATTCAATATATTATTATATATTATTGGTATACAGCACCAATCCTAGAGATGGAAAGCTACGTAAAATAACTAGTTATAATTACTGTAAAAAAAAATGTTTTTACCATTAATGCTACTTCATATATATTACGCTTTGACAGCACTACATTTATTGGAAAGCGATGATTTCGAAAGACTGACAACATGTTCACTCCACAACTTTGTTAGCTCGCTCTGCCCGACTGTAGAAAGAGAATTCACATCCCCTTATACTTCCCCAAGCAGGTTTAGGGAAAGGTACAACTTAGTCAAACCTAATGTGGGTTTCCTGAAACAGGAGCAGCTCAAGCGCTTGGTCCGTTACCATGGTAACCAAGCCCGCTGGCAGGCTCCCTTGACAGAGCCACACACACAAAGGTTAAAAATCAAAGGTTAAAAATCTGCATACCAACAATAAAGCTGAGGTTTGTGGTATTACAGTGGGTCATGTACTGAACTATTTCTTGAGTAACGGGGCTGCCTCTCACTGGATTTAAGACTTCCGCTCCAGCTGTGTGTATTAAACAGGAATGACAATGGTATCAAACATCTTAAACTTCTCTTGGTAAAAAACCCGTAGCATTTTTTCAAACTTTAGAAACTAGTGAAAAGGCTTGTCATGGCGGAAAGAATAAGGATGTTATGCTTTGATGTCAGTGCCAGTGTAAAATGTTTGAGTATATGTTAAACAATGGTGTTTGGATTTATTTACCATAAATTGTCTGTCTTTCTTTAGTAGACATTGTTTTCCGTGCAGCTCTATCAATTCCACTAACAGACAGAATAGTCCCCACGGGTCTACGCTGCCTCCTGGCCGCTAACGGCTGACTCAGTCAATCAAAATATGTTTCAAAAAGTGTGAATCACTGAAAGAAGTTTACACATTTTGTATTGGTGCATTAGAAAAAGACTAGAAGCATGTTTCAACTCGCTGTCAGGTTGTGAAACGTGAGTCCTCCAGTTCGGGGTTCACAGTATTTTACAAATGTTTTCAGTGTACACTCGTTCTGTTCACACCTATAGCCTGATCCTTCATTAGTGTCAGGCTTTTCGTTGTCAGTCCTTTCTTTGTTGCCAGGCTGTATTTTTGTATTTTCCCAGCATATCAAGTCCCGTCGTGCCTGCGCTCACACTTGTAGAAGAATTGCCAATATGCCTTCTTTATTGCAAAGTTTTATTATTGTAATAAGTACATTTGCATAAACATAGTTGGTGTGTGATTTATAAAGCTCATACACCTCATTGTTTTATAAATGTAAACAATTGGGTTGATCTTAATTTCTTTCACAACTTGAGCCAAAAATTGGCTTTTGCACACTTTACACACTTATATTTTTACACACATATTTCAACTTGCTGCGTTCATACGGCTCATTCATCACGTTCCTGCAAACAAAGAATTTGTGCTGCATTTGGATGGAAATGATCACACAGGCGCACATGCACTCGCACAAGAGAAGAAAACTGAGAATAAATCTTTGCAATAAAGACAGCGATGCATATAGAGAGGATTGTTCCAAATCACTACAAGGAAAACATTAGAATAATTTCAATGTTAAAGAGACGGATTATTAAAAGAACCAGTGATAGATCAGTCTATTAATTAAGAAAATACATCACAATGAAACAGTCTTATCAAGACATCTACAAAAATACCGTTGTATCCAACATCATAATTATCAAAAAGGAGATTAGGATGTGCAGCAGTATAACTGTAGTGCACACTAGCGTGTGGCGTTGTTGTGACTCAGGCTGTGGTGTGTAGATGTTCCACCAGGTGGCGGCGTTGCGTCTGGTGCGTCGTAAATATCTACAGAAGAAGTTTGCGACGTCCGCTGTCGTAAACAACGTCAAGATGTCTGAACCACCAGCTTATGGCTTAGCCTAAAACGCTACAGCTTGTTTTTGTTTTTGATTTACTTTAGCTTGTGTTTAGTTTGGCGACGTGGAGATTGTGTTAGATGGAGACCGAATACTTGCCATGAAACTCCGGATGCAGAATGACAGGTGAGCCGGAGCGTTTCCCCCGCCGGGCTGTCTGTTAGCTGCTAATGCTAACGGCAGCCGTGTCCGCCTCCGAGGAGACGGTTGTCTGCTTGTCGCTACTTTGTGGTTTATTCCACAACAGTCTTAAAGTAGTGCTGAGATTAATATACTATCGCTCATAGTCCACGCGAGATGTTCTGGATGAATGACGTTGTTAACTTTATAGTCGTCACTCTTACTGTTACACTAAATGCCGTTGCCATTATTTGATATGCTTTTAAACCCTCTTTTAAAAATACACATCTCTATAATCACAAGGTGTCCTTGGTGTTGACACATGTTAAAGACATTTTAACGTAGTCTTTTGAGAAAAAAAAAAACATGCTATCGGGTAGTTTCACCGACAACTTGCATTAGGAACTATTGTTCAACTTGTGAACCCGGATGATTGATGCTGGACACCTTGCGACTGAGACTTTAAAGCCTCGTCTTTTTTTGTCAAAGGAGTGATACCAGCAGAGCACTGAAACTGAGGGACTCTCCTGCTGTTATGCAGCCCGATGCAAGTGAGCGGGGCGCTCATACAGGAAATGGTTTATCCCCAACTCTGCAACCACAACTTCCCAGAACACCGACCCCTGCTGCCGCTGCTGCCAACGAGCCGGAGAGCAACGAGGTGCGGGTAACCATGACCAGCAAGCCTGGGGAGTCCAGTGGATGTGCATCCTCCAGGAGGTCCAGAGTCACCTCCCACAGCCACTCCCACTCTCAGCCACACGGACACCATCGGGGGCCGCATCCCGGGGCTGAGCTCGACCCGCCTGACTCCGATCTGGACTCTGGAGAACCCAGCGGCTCCTTGTCTGAGCTGCGCTGTCTCTTCCGCTGGCTTCAAAAGAGTCTTCCTTTTCTGGTCATCGTGTGTGCTAAGCTCGTCCTCCAACACGCTCTCGGTGGGTAAGAGTGAAGCAAAACCCCGTGACTGTCACTGTGAACAAAGGGCATCGTTGTTTACTTTGTTCTTCCTGCTTACTAGGTCTGGCAGTCGGAGTTGGCCTCTTCACAACTTTTCTATATGTGAATAAAAACATTCAAACTCAGGTCTTTCTTCAGGTAAGATGAGAGCCGGATGACAAACCCCTTAGGCCATGTACAGTTAGATTCTTAAAGCATTCACCTGTTTCTCCTCAGGACCGCCACTCAAAGCTGCGCTGTGCGTGGCTGCTGCTGTTCCTGGTCTCTTCCAGCCTCCTGCTTTACTACACCTTCCTCGACGAGGCCCTTCACCATTGGTATGAGCTGATGCATCTCTTCACATCAGTTACCCCGGAACAACAAGGCTGTCTGGTTGTTTCCAGTGACCACTTAGGTGTTCTTGGGATATAATCTCAATTAGTATGTTGAATGTTCAGCCAGAACACATACTCTGGGTGACTTCACTCTCTCATTTGTTCTCCCGTACCGTAGTTTAGTAACCTGCTGTACCCGCCACGCTAAAACGTCCCATTTAACCTGAATGTCAACCTCTTTCCAGCCTCATCTTCCTCAGCCCAACCATTGAGCCGCTGGGTTTCTGGGAGGTTCTCTGGGCCGTCGGCATCACCAACTTCATAATAAAGTTTATCTCTATGGGGATCAAGTGCCTTATCCTGCTGCTGCCATCCTCACTGGTGACATACAGGACCCAGGTGAGAGTGGGAGGATTGATAACTAATGTTATGTATAGGTTGGCGGGGCAAGAAGCTCTTATTTTGTGTGTTTGAATGCCCCCAGGGGCGGTGGGTGATGCTGAGCGAGGAGCTGGGTCAGGCCCACCAGGCCATGGCGCCTTTCCCACTTTGGTTCCGCTACCTGGTCACATACCAGGAGGCCGACGGCACCCCTGGACTCACACTGGGGGTCCTGCTGGCTTTGCTCTATCTCATACTGAAGGTGCCATTACTATCAACTGAGCAATAGATCTTTGTCTTTTTAAAAGCAAAATTAAACATTTTGTCTCTTTATCTCTCTCTCTCAGCTGTTAGGATTTTACGGACAGTGGACGTTGTTTCTGAAAACCATGAGGATACTGGTTAAGGGCGAGGTCAGTGGTAAACCGTAGATCGTTTTGATAATTGGTCCCATTCAGGAAGCGGCTGTTTTAAAGGTGTTCTTTGTCTCTCAGCATACAGGCTCCGCAGCCACCAGGGGCCAGTGCAGCGAGGCTGGAGACGTCTGTCCCATCTGTCAGGGGGAGTACAAAGAGCCTCGGGCCCTGCTCTGCCAGGTAAAACCAAACGTGCTGCACGCCTTTAATCAACTAATCAACAGGTTTACTCTCCCATGTGTGCATCAATGTATTTAGATGCTCCGGGACCTTAACTCTTTAATTATGTTATCAAACTTTATCACAGCAGTTGCTCAAATCATGCAGTTTGTCAACTTAATTGAGTTGGCGCAGATTTACTTGAGAAAATCTAATACGTTGTTTTTTTTCTTCAAAAATGCAATTTTTTAAAAAAAACACTTTTCGTAAAAATAACCCATGTTTTTCTGTGAGTATAAAAACGTATTTTCCTGAATCAGATGAACTGAAGGGCAGCACTTTTTATAGATCTAGTCATGTATGGTCAGCGCAGGACATGCTGACGTGTTCTTTTTCTTCCGTGCAGCACATATTCTGTGACGAATGCATCGCTCTGTGGTTCAACCGGGAGAAGAGCTGCCCTCTCTGCCGCACCGTGATCACAGAGAAGGTTTACAAATGGAGGGACGGAGCCACATCTCCACATCTGCAGATTTATTGATTGATACAGGGCTTTTGGGTGCAGGGCATATGAGCTGGTAATTAATGTGATTCCATGTGGCCGTCAAGAACCACTGAGTAATGTGCTGCATTTCATTGATCATCTGTGGACGGTGCCCTGCAGGAAGGACACACACATTGCAGTGGTGTTTCTTTACTACCAGCACATCCAGACATTACTTTCCACACATTTTTGGATTACTCTCCCCCCCCTTTACTTGACTTTATTCATCTTTTTAATCTTGATTTAACGTTGACTAAATGAGGAACAAATTGTTCTACTTCCAGTTCCCTCTACTTGTAAATATGGGAACATCAAATTAAATTTACACTGGGAGATAAATATATATATATATAAAAATTAAAAGGTATTTTAAACTGATTTTTCCCATCACATTTGACAAAACGTGCAACACAAACCCTTTTATCCAGTGTTTCTTTGTAATAAACTGTTCATGAGTGCTTTCTCAATTCTGCATATGTGAACAGTAAAAGCTTCTAGGAAGCCCACTAAACAGTAATACATGTTATTCAATAGTCCAGTAGTGACCAGAGCGTTGCCATGGCAGACTAACGAATAACTTGGGATGGACAGTTTGTTATGCGTTTGGTTACTATTTCTTTGCATTTTCTGATAAAAAGGATGCAACTGAGCGTGTGAGTAATTCACGCAAATTATTTTTCTATAGAGGCGTCAGACTTGTTTTTGTAAAAACCAAAAACTGGGGAAAAACTTCTATTTTTATTATGTACAAAATCCTTTTACGGTTCCTTTTATCCATTTAAATGCATCTGAATAAAGATCTATCTTTTGAATGTTTGAGAATCTTTTTTGCTGAGTAGCTAAACCTTTGAATCACATTAATCCAGTAGACAACCCAAGATAATCGGTTCGCCACTTTGTAAATTCCATTGTTACATTGCTGCTGATCATTTATTTTAACTTCATCATATATACGTGATGCATATTAACATTATGCAATATTTCCATTTCGAGGGTCATATCTTGAGGTAACCAGCAACAGGGATAAAGTTAATACCTGCTGTAGTCAAAGAAAGTGTTTCATACCTGAAGGAAGCTTGATGTTAGTTCTCAAACAACTCATGTTGTTTGAGTGTGGCGGATACTCAAAAGTACCTGCGCACACACGCGATCCTGCTTAGATCATATGTGAAGCAAACGAACATCGTTGGTTTTGCATCAGTTTTTTCAATGCAAAACAAACATGCTCAGGTTTAAGATAATTGAAATGTTTTCTAAAAGTCTCCCTTCACTTTGATACTAAGACAGAATAAATACTGTAGGGCATTAAGGTAACTCCCCAAATTTGGAATTCATCTGAGAATGCTGTAAGACAAGTTCTGTAAAAATAAAATTATACTGTACATGCTTGTTACCATTATAGCATATCAAGTCTCGACAGAATTCCAAATCAAATGATGACCCATTCTGCTGCCTGACCTAAATAACACTACATAATAAATATATAGCTTGCATAGTGTGAACAATACAGTGGAAACACATTGGCACTTGAAATAAATATTGTAACAAATTAACCAAACGTTAGGTGTAATAAAAATTAAAAAAAACTAGTGATTGGTCATAAACACAATTGTACCGGAATGGTAGAAGAAAGCGAGTTGGCTCAGACTGACAAAGGTCCATTTAGGAACCGTTGTCTGAGCTACTCATCAAATAACCCTAAACGGTCTCTGCCAGCATCAATGTGTAAAACAAACCCAAATGTGTGTGACCTTTGACCTTGTAGTTCTAGCTAACCAGCAACACACTTGTTGTCCGGAGCTTTTTCTCAACAGCAAAAGAGAAAGCATTTGGTCATTGAAACAGTATGTGCTGATAACAGGAAACACCAAGGAGCCTTTCAAACTGAAGCTCATTTTCATCCATTTAACTTTCACTTGTCATTGAGGGAATCTGCACCTGACAGCGCGGTCGGTAGTGCAGATTTCAATGGCTTGACTCCAGAGGCTCATATAGTAGCTGCGCATCACACAAACAGGTCATACATCTCCTCCCAATCAGGGCTCAGCCTCTACCACATGGACCCACTTACTGCAAACGCATGGAAGGGATACACAAAGCACAAACACATGAACACGGCCTGAATCAATGCATTTCAGCAAAAATGAATGTGTGGATTGCGGGTCGAGATCACACGAGTAGGTGAGTTAAAACTAATGGTGCAGGGTTGATTAGAGCAATGCAGTGCAGGAGATTCACGCAAAAAAAACAATGCATACAGTCGGCTTACATTCAACACAAAGATACAGACCAGGCCTCCGACAGAACGCACCCCAGTCAGACCGAGTGAAGCAGCCAGCCGTTGGTACTGATTGTGGTGGAAGCGATGCCTTCAGCTGAAAGTTCACCTCAAGTCTTTTTTAAAAATTTTATTCGCACTCCACCCTGCTACTGGCCACACGCTCCAGTGACAAAAGGCAACGTGATTGTTCTCCTTAAACATGAAAGGAATACTGTGTTCGTTGTGGAACGGTTTCCTAATAAATGTACCTACTCGCAGCAAACCCTGTGAGTTCTCACAAAAGCCCTGCATATCCAGGTGCAAATAACCAGCCAATGACGCAATGAGTCATCAACACCAGAATTAACATTCAGCAGACTTGAGGATCAAAGAGCACCATATAATGTCAGTAGAGTACACACGTCGTTACTGAGCCTACAAGAAGCAAGCAAACTCTCGTTGAAGAGCCACCTCGCTCACCCAACTTCCCCCGACTCTCCTATCTACTGCACTGCTGATTATCTGCGTCAGGGGGGAGGCAAGGCGCTGCTGGAAGAGCTGGTGATCGACACTGACAGCGTCAGTCAATTGGAAAACATATTCTACAAGTCTCTCTGAAAGCAAAACAAATAAAAAAAGGAAGACGACGAGGAATTAGAAGAGTCCTAGTGTTCTCAGGAGAGCCAAGCGTCATAGGTTCATCCGTAGGTGTTCTGGCCGCTTGGAGTTCATGGGGTAGGTCTGCTTTTTGGAGTGTCCCGCGTTGATGCCTTTAGGGAGCCTGATGGGGAGCGGCGCAGAGGCCTCAGAGCCACTGCCGCTCGTGTCCATTGTCTCCGCTGCAGACACCTCCATGGGTTGCTCCGCAGTGCGTCCCGTCGCCGGCGGTCCCCGCAGCCAGCAGTCCCCAGCTACAAACTTCACCGGACTGGAAGAGGGAGATGTGAGACACTGGTGTTCGCGAGGCACAGGCCCATTGTTTGAAAAACAACAGGGTAAAGGCAGATTTATTTATCTAACCACCCCCATGGAAGCATCTGTCCAATAGTTAGCAGATGTTCAGCCATCACATCCCTTTATCCACCTGTGTTCTCTTTTTATCTCAAATTTCTCTAAATGGAATTCGACTCAAGATTAACGCAAGTGGCCCTAACCTGTTCCATTTGGAAAACAGCTCACATTTACCATCCCAATGGTGGCTTTGTTTGTCCCCTGATTTACAAGGTCGGCCAACGGGTAAAATATGTGGAAATGACTTGCTGTTCTGAAAATAACAGATGGATCTCAAACCCGGGACCAAAGAAACTTGCCGTTACCTCACAGGTGTTCTTGGGCTTCCTGGGAACTTCCGGGGTGAGCGCACCTTTGGCTCAAGAGAGAACCTTTCTTTGACGTTTTCCAGAACAGACGGGGCTACATATGTGAAACCCTTGGGGGAGGAGGGGAAAAACAGAGAGAGGTCTTAGTCCATCTCTTCAAAGACCATCTTTCCAAAAACAAACCACCGCTGATGATGAACAATGAAATGCTGAGTAAACCACATCGTGCCATGTGCTGGAACAGTGAGAGAAGCTTCCAGGAAAGCCAACAGGACACCAGATGGAATGAATTAACCGATTCTCGTAAGACCTACCAAGGAAATAAAAAAAACAACGGGTCCATAGCTGGCCTCTGTTTGTGTTCCCTTTCTTCATTCCAAATCTGGTTTGAAGCGCGTGTTCATTGTGCACATATATCATGGATTATTCCCTAAAAAAATTTGTTATGTTACGAATAATTCTGGTCACTCCAGAAAGTGAGACGGTGTGACAGAAGAGTTACAGCAATCGTACAGCACCCACCAGGAAGGCTTGATTGGCACTCTCGCTGAGCGTGGAGTCATCAGGGCTGTCCACTGGAGTCTGGCTGGTGAACTTGGAGTCAAACTGGCTGACGTCATCAGCCGATTGCTGGCAACAGAATAGCAAGTCAGGTAATCATCTGAGCCAAGAAATGATATTGGTCACAACAATAAAAACAAAATGCTTACCAGATATGGCTTAAATGGAGGCTCTACTTTGCGAGCCAGGAGGTCATCCCAATTGATGTGACGGAAGAATGGGTGGGCCTTGGAAACACAATGACAGACGTGGGATTTAATATTTCATGACTACTCTACATACCTGCTTTGGGGGTGAAAAGGGAGACAACGTGGGGGAGATTTTGCGCAAAAGTTGCCATGTTGGCAACACTGATTTGAAGGATGTAAAGTGGGAGGGGAAATGAAGACGCTGTGGAGATCTCAACGCGGATTGGCCAAGACTCGTCACATCACATCAAAGATTTACCTGGACCTCGGCAGCATCTCCTGGTCCGGCACCAAGACGCAACGAGGCATTTCGTTTCAGCAGCTAAAACAGAAAGTTTGGAGATTCGTTATGTTTCCGCAGCGACCACACGTCCATCAGAGCACGAGTCAGAAGGAAGGCTCACCTTTTTCAGGAGGTCCCTGGCTTCTTGTGTTAGGTAAGGCGGAAGGCTGAGTTTGCATTTCAAGATTTTATCAATTGTCTTTTTTCGGTTTTCACCGGTGAATGGGGGCTAAGAAAGAGTAGTCAGATAAAAACAGTTAGCAAAAGAAGACAATTTCTTTCTTTAGCAATGCGGCTAATTAGTGTGCACTTACTGCCCCTGTCAGCATGTCATACATAAGAGCTCCCAAACTCCACCAGTCAACAGCTCGGTTGTGTCCACTCCTCATCAGGATCTCTGGAGCCCTGAGGAAGAAGAAGGGAAGGACCACGATCACACAGCAGATACCCCAGGAGGTACGAAATACGACTGAATGCGCACAGCTCAGCAATAATGATTTAGTCTGCATGGTGATTGTGTGTGACATACATGTATTCGATAGTGCCACAGAAGGTGTGGGTCACCGTCCCGTCGTGGATGGACTCTTTGCAAAGACCAAAGTCTGTCAGCTTTACATGTCCTAGAAGGGGACGAGAACAACGTGAGAACATGACAGGTAAGACAGGTAGTAAGAATAGTTTGTCTTTCTTCACAGCGATCCTTCAGGTCGGTGTACCGTTGTTGTTGAGCATGATGTTCTCGGGCTTCAGGTCTCTGTAGATGATGCCTTTCTGGTGCAGGTGGCCAAGTGCCATTGAGATCTCAGCCAGGTAGAAACTGTCAAGACACGCAGGTCACACGTTCAGCAAACAGTCGCTGACATGGAAGTGATTATGTGGGGTTGTTAATGTTCTGAGATCTGCAGTAGGTCTTCTTCACAACGTCATCTAGGTTATTGTAGGATTATTACACACTTCATCTAGAGGCTGTGTATATTTCTAAAATAGAACAGCAGATATTCCAAGCGACACCACCCCACGCCCCCCCCAGAACCGACTGCTTTCCACCTAAAATCCCCTCAACAGGTGTGCGAAGAGTATTCTGCCACAACAGATCATACTGACACCAGAAGTGTATCTGGCTTGTAAGTCATGAGTCAGCAATAAAAGACCTTGCAGAGGCAACTGGCAACACTGGGTGTTTGTTAAGATGCCCTTACTGTTGCCATCTGGAAATGGGTTCATATTGTAAACAATATGGGAACAAACACAGGCAGTGGAGAGGGGGATGAAAAGATTCAACAGGATTTAGATTTGACGTGTTTAAACAAAACATAACAATTTAGGGATGTACAAAAACAACATTTTTTTTAATGTATTTTTTATCGCAGGATAAGCTCCCTCTCAACTTGAAGTTAGTCAGCTGACGGCTAATGTTATCCCAGATGGTTCAGACTTCATCGGGGAAAGACTAGCTCACCATGCCGTGTCCTCCATGAAGATGCCCTCTCTTTCCAGTTGCATAAACAGCTCCCCTCCTGCAGTCACCACACATAGACATTTATCCACTTTGGAGATCAACAGTTTTGTTTTATTAATAAAACGCCCATCCAATATCCGCTGCACACTTAATTCTCCATGCTTATAAAATGATGAATTTGTTGTGTGTTTGATTGGGCCACAGGATGCTCACCGCTCAGATACTCCAGGATGAGGTACAGCTTTCCCCCGGTCTGGAAGGCATAGATGAGGTCCACGATGAAAGGATGCTTCACCTCCTCCAGGATGTTCCTCTCGGCTTTAGTGTGAGCGGTGTCCTTCGCATTACGCACAATCATGGCCTGGCAAGGGACAGAGCGGCACACAGCGAGTCAGGGTGTGAAACTGTGAAGAATTACCTTCGCCCCATTAGCGGGTGTCAAAGCTTCATCGGCCGCAGATGCAGAGCAACAGCCAAGTCACATTTAGCCAATAAATACAGTTATTATCCCTAAGCTTCGAGGAATATGAGCTGGCTGTTTAAACGCGGTCTGGCAACAGCTCTGTGTCAGCTGCAGAGAGGAGGTCGAGCTGAACAGAAGCAGCAGATCCGAGGTATTATGGGAAAGAGCCTCCCTCAGTACGTCACCAGAGAAGGCCCACATGTAAAACGCTGATATGTATTTCCTGTGCTCCTTCCCCGTAGCTGTGGGCCACTTGTCTTTGCTTATATATGCATGAGATAATGCAGATGCTCCCACACTGCACTACTGTATTTGGGATGTTAATGGGTGTCGTGGTGGACGACAAACCAAATTGAGTTGCTCTTAAAATGAATTAGATGATTTTCATTGAAGAAATTGAAATCCCTTTAGCCAAACCTGAGACGGGGCCATTCACTCACTTTCTTCAAAACTTTCATTGCGAATATCTTCCCAGAGGTGGAACCAGAAACCTTCCGCACTTGAAACACCTGTAGAGAATTGTATATCAAATCAAGCATAATCCACAGATATTTATAGAGGTAACTTGAAACATTTAAATAATACATCATATCACATGTTTTCAAAACTTCCCACTATGTAATAATTCCTGATGATTAAACAAATGTAGGTGATGTGACAAGGAGCTATATAAGGAGCAGAAAAAGGATATATGCATTAACTTTTTATAAAGTTTTAGCAGCTGGAATAGAAAAGTGGCTTTTCAGTGGCTATTAGAGACTGTGACTGAGACTGACAGAGTTAAACACCCAACTCCAGAACCAAACATGTATACAGAATATATGGTTTGACCCTTCACATTTCAAGTCATGCTACATCACAAAGGGGGAAAACAGAGGAAGACCAATTCATAAGCGTGTCCCAGCAGATGCCTCACCTTTCCATAGCCACCTTTTCCCAAAACTTTCAGCAGCTCAAAGCATTCAGGCCTGATCGGCTCTGTTCCCTGGTTGACGCTGTTTTCTGAAATTTCAAACTTCTCACAGTCATCCATGTTACTGGCAAAAAAAGAAGAAGAAAAAAGAAAATCACATTTGAAACATTCCTTATCATTATGTTTGCAATTTCAAAGATAACAGTATTATCAAGAATATCAAGCATTTGACATAGTTCCCATTAGTGCAGGGACCCCTAATTGTATTATTAGACTTAAGAGACCCTAGATTTTATAAATCATTATTGGGTCTATTTGGATAGGTGACAAATTAAAGGAAACTCACACAGTTGCTTTGTACAGGGTTAGAGGGGGTCCCTAAATAGGTTAAATTAAAATTTCACAGAGAACAGACCCCAATTAAACATCGACGTGGGACTGAAGTGTTACACATCAATCTCCATCACCATCATCAAAACACAATAATTTGGAATCTCCTGGTCGGATGTTGTTGTTCTCCACAGATGTTCGGGAGGCTTGAGATGGTTTGAATAACACATTCCGTTTTCCCTTTGAGTTGTAACCCTCTGCAAAATACTAGACAGCTGGTTTACGCTTTAGTACTACTTGTGAATACTGTAAAAACATCACCATGGAAGGTTTAGAAGCACTAAAAGTTCTTCACAACTCCTTCAGGACAACATCCAGCCATCCAAATAAACGGTTGTTTATTTCCCCTTCAGGCAGCCGGTGAATTATAGTTCTGTTGTACTTACAAGTCAAAGCCACTGCACTGGTCCATGTATTCACCAGGCTGGCCCTGAAAACACGAGGCACAGGACAGACAAACATGCGGGTTTATCATAGACGTTACATACATTTAGATTTTAGGGTTTGTGATCATTTCGGTTTATTCGCTATAAGTTACGACTGAATAAAGCATCACTAGGCTGCTTAAATATACACACACCTCCTCCTGACGTTTAGCAGCAAAAAGCCCATTTCTAGTGTAGCTAATAACACAATGACGACCAGAGAAGAGTCAGACGCGTGTAACACGCAAGTTAACCAACTTAACTATTAGCTATTGACTCGTAAAGTGAGCGGTGGGGAAGCAATAAACAGCGAGGTCGATTTAGACTTACAGACGGGTTGAATTTCAGCATGTTGTTGCTCCCGAGTTCATTTATGAATGGATATATTTATGTATCTATTTGTGAGTTAACGTTAATACACGAAGTGTTTAAGTCAACTTATGCAACTAATCAACACACGAATGTGCTTTTCGTGCCGGTGCAGCTCGTACCAGCGCGCTCCATCGTCATGGCGACATGGGTGGTGTTGGCTACAACCGGTGAAATAAAACGCCACATTGAGGGTGACTCTTCACTCCTGTATGATCGGCGTGCTTCATTCCTGCCGTCGTTGTTCACCTCCCCTCCGTCAGTACATTGAAGACGCGGTGGCGCCGGTGTCTCTGCCGGGTGAACATCATGTGGCGGTCAGCCGAACGTACGCCGTCACACGCAAACTTCTCCAACAACACGAATAGTTGCGCGCGCGCAACGTTACACCGGGACGGCGATGAAACCCAACTGTGTTCGGCCATCGTTTTAAATTCAGAAAACGCAAACTGATTTCCACAGCGACAATGCGGCACTGCTAGATTCCGCGGGAAACGGTGAACGCGGACATGTCTGTAAGCGGGTACCTGCCAGGTCAATGGTGCTAGCAGCGCAGGCCTCAGCCCTGCTAACTGCTAGCTAGCTGGCTAACAGCGGCGGCATCAGCCCTGCTAACTGCTAGCTAGCTGGCTAACAGCGGCGGCATCAGTCCTGCTAACTGCTAGCTAGCTGGCTGGCTGGCTAACAGCGGCGGCATTAGCCATGCTAACTGCTAGCTACCTGGCTAACAGCGTCGACATCATCCCCACACGTTAACGTGAACTCACCCCATCCTCGAGGTCGTCGTCAGAAACATTCCCATCCGGTTGATCCAAATCGATGTCGAAAACACCGGCCATGGCCACCAAACTTCACTCGGTGTTTAGTCAGACAAAAGTGCCGCTCCCCGACCTCATGGGACAGCCATCCCCGTAAAACCGGCTGCAGCAGACGGCATGGGCTAGCATCCAGCTAACCACAACAAGACAGGCGGCGGGCATCAGGGGAAGCCTCTAGTGTCGGTCACCGGCACTACTCGGCTCCGGCTGGCTCGGAGACCAGTTAGTGGACAAGAGATAACTTGCAACAATGACGGAGGCTTTAACCTCACTCAGAAAATAACATACATTCTTCCAGAGCGAGCCGAGTGAATTGCAATAATTTGATGTAAAGTTACTCAAGCGCTTGACTCAACTTAAGGTGTCCTGACACTCGATTACAGTGCAGAAGGGCGATTTGTTATTTTGATTAATTGACAGGGTTTTTTTTGACAAATGAAACTCCAGCCGTATATGAATGTTTTGAAATATTATTTTTATTATTTGTCCATCCTCCCACCCGTATCTGCAAAAAAGCTGAAACAATTAGTTGTTACTGCATTTCTCACTATTTGCTTAATTTTAATAGGGTAAGGAACCAATCAGGAAAATAACCATCAATCCAAAATAAAAGATAATCATTAGTTGTAATTTTATAAAAGAAGCTAAAAAAGAGCACCGTCTCAGCAAACTACACAATTCAAGTCCTGATTTTACTTAATGCATGTGTTATACATCGTAATTATAACCTTAATTATCATTATTAATATTAATGAGTCACAGGGGCAATTTATCTGTTCATTGAGATATTTAAGTTACATTTCCAGTACAGCGTGTTGGCTTATAACATATTACCTTATTATTTTAACAATGTGATATATCATTAAAGGAACTGAACACTTCCTCCACTGGCATTACAACAGTTTTCTTCAGCAAGTGTGTGAATAAATCATTAATAAATCAAATCATCATTCAGTGGAAGACATTACTTTATGTCAGAAAGTAACCTTTTAATGTGCCTCCCCCACTTTCCTTTACTTGTTTCTTTCACCGACAACATACAGACATATTCACTTTAAATCATAATCTGATTACCGTTAAGGGACTATCTGTGGTTATGAGGTCGTTGCTTTAATGTGGTATTGTTATGTGGAACTTTACATCAGAAAAGTGGAACATCCCCTTGTTTGATCTGTTGGATCTTTGTTCCCAGAATCAAAAAGGTCAGTTTAGTTTAATTATTAATGTCGAAAGCTTTACACGTAGATGAAGCATTTCCAACATATCATTACTGAACCATAGAAGAATTTAATTTGATATTTCTTTGTTGCTGTCTGGATCTTTTGTTCATATTCTTCTCAGTTATGTCAAGCTTGCATAACCATACATTCTGTATTGAGCAAAAGAATAAAAAAATAATTGTATGCTGCGCAACTAAATTTATTGGGATTAAGATACACAGTGAAACAACCAATTCTTTCCAGTCCAGTGTTGCTATGAGGAAAACAAATGTTTTTTAGACGTCTGACACAGAACATGACCTTCAGTAATGTTCCTTCGGAAAAACTGTGTTCCTCTGAATATGGAATAAAACCTTGTTCTTAAAACTGTTTATTTCACTGTTGACCACTGGAGTCCAAAGCAAGAACTAAGCAGTAAACTATTGTAATTATAGTATTTGTTTGTTAGAATGTTAGATCCCATGCGTCTAATACAATGACAAGGCAAAATGTCTGCTTTGAAAAATACATATTTCATTGCTTAACTGTACAATACAAGTTGTTAAGTCTCGGGCTGAGGTGGGTTCTTCCTCGTCTTTCTCCTCGTAATTCACTGATAGGTCCGTCTTAAAAATCCTATTTCTTACCTGTAGGTGGCAGTGGGGAAAAGGGAATCCTTTCCAGGGTGTGAAAAACATTATTCATTCACCCTAATATCTGCCTGTAAAACACTTTATTGCAACACTTTACTGGGACCTGTGGTTGAGCCAAACAAAAAAAAGAAGTAACATAACAAAACTAGGCCAGTCTATCCACCTCTAGAAACGGAATAAACTAAATGGCCATGCACTTCTCTATACCTTTTTGGTAAAACAGAACACAGAGGAGGCATCAACCAATAACCTCGTGCTTCTAGACAGTGACTACGCGAGAGTAGCAATGTACAGGATACCGCAGACTCCCCTGGTCCTCAGCGTCCCCCCACAGACCTTCACAGCCACTTTCAACGTTTACACTCTTTCAGATCAGCATTACACCTTCTTCCAGTCGGTCTTGCTCCTTTTAATTCCCGAGCACTGCCCGGTTGATTGGCGAGCACACGTGGAGCCCAATCACCGGGACGGCACCTGGAAAGAGACAGAGGGATCGAGACGAGAACAGGGTGAGAAAACCAAAGACAGGACGTGGGAAGGTCTCTTGCCCAGCCTGATATGTAACAGTAATCTTTAGCTAACCCTTCCTGTTGCTTTTCTGAAATAAAGCTGATGGGAAATCAGTCAGAAGGAAATAACAGCCGCAGCAATGCTTATAACTGAGACTTTTCTTAGAAGTAGTAGATCTTCACTATACTTTATTAACACTGACAATGGTTACTGTTGAAATTGCCACTAGGTCTTCAGTCTTGGCGCTAGAAGGCCAATCTATAACACGGCTTCTTTTGTTGTGGGGGTCCTGTTTCCAAGAGGCTCAGGACAGGCCCCCTGTGGGGCGGCGTTACTTTGAGCGCTCCATCTGATAGTTTGTTTTACTTTGATTGCCCGCTGATCAAAACCAGCTGCACCGGGTACAGAAATATGTTTGTGTGTGTGTTCTTTGTTTTGTTTGGCTTTGTTTATTTTGAAAAGGGGACAGACTAGACACTCCTAGAAAGTCCCACAAGCTTTGTTTAGGGTCCGTGTCCTGACTTGAGGTTGCTGTTGTGATCACTCAAAATCACTTTGCATATCATCCAACTCCGTTGTGTTCTCATGTTTGGCCTTTGTCAATATGGAAGGACATTAGTTTACATCTGAGGGTGAAAGCTGTCAGCATCTCCATATGTTTCTTTTTCTTTCTTCAATGCATATGTCTGGTCTTTACTGCGGGACAGAAGTCTTGCGTGATGATTTAGGACGTAAAGGTAAGCTTGTTGTAGTGGGATAAAATCCCTTTTTGGTATTTAAAAGATGTTCTGTGGAGGTAAAGGACAGATGTGGTCATCACAGATGTGTCAGACTGTTGGCACCAATCAAATATGAAAAGTGGGAGTGTGACTTCTTTAAGGGGACGGGTGAGGTAAACACAGAGTAGAAGTTATTTGGTGGAATATAACTGCAGAAAGGCCAGACCAGATGAGCTGGCAGCACAGTGTGTTTGCTGTGCAGTCTGCCGTGGATGTGTTGGGTTTTGTTTGCTCTTTGTGGTTGTTAGGGGCACGTTGATGGGCACGCTGCATACAACCGCTCTGCGTGTGTTAAACAGGCCTCATGCAGAGTGGACAAGAGTAAAATTAGCTCTGGTCCCATGAAGGCTGATAGCTTAAGTTGTTAGTTGAAAAGCATGTATGCATATTTTCCAATATGTCAAACTTGTTTCTTTAACGTGCTCGTTGAGACGGTAACTGTGCCTCCAATCAGAAATGATAGGCATCGCCTTTTATACTTCAAATACGTCCAATTTTCTTTATACATACATCATTTATGGTCCTATGGGAATAAATCATACCAGATTAGACATTTTTTATTCCAGTTCCAGTTTTGTTTTTTAGTGAACTATTGAAACCACTATTGAAATTTAAATAGGTAAAGGTCGATATTCATGGTCCTCAGAGGAAGAATCCCATTGACTTGGAAGCCACGGGTAGAATGAGATTCATGGTCCTATCTAGCTAAAGCTGGGAAGTGGCTATTGCTATTAGCATCTTCAACACCCTCCAATAAATCAAGGTGTTCCTTCGCATTTCGCGTTCAAAGTGAACCATCTTCCAAATGAACAATGCATTCTGAAGTTGCTTACTTTGCATCACCAACACAAATGGCACAACACACAATATAATTGGTATGCTTGGAGGGTGAGACATTCCTGTGTAATATTCCCGAGGTGGGATCGTGTCATGACACAGAAACCTGCATTGACACGTGAACCCTTTTTGAGGATAAAAGCAGCTGCAGAGTAAAGTCCACATAAGATTTCAAGCATTGCGGTTCACTCAATGACGTTCTCTTACATCGAAGTGTTGCTTCTGACTGCGTGTGTGTGTGTGTGCGTTGGACCGGTACTACAACACTCACACCCCCTGTGTTTCTTATGGCACAACTTAATGATGCAGTTTCCTGTAGAATTAGTCAATTACCTTTAAAGGTGCGATAATAAATACACAACGCGGCTTAGCTCTTAACTCCTTGAGAAAGGTGGAAGAGCTACAGATGTGTGTGTTTGGTCACACTGCTGCCATGCTGGCACTGAGGCGGATGCTGCTGCCTGAATATTCTGTTAAAATACCCGCGTATCACTTAGCTCATCACAGCCGAGGGAAACGCATTTTGTTGTGACAAATTCTGAGAAATAATACTTGGTAACATAGTGATGGTTTTACTCATGTATTCAAATGATTCCTTGACAGAGGTCAGCCGGGTGCCTGCTGATAAATTGAGTTAGGCGCCCAACGTTTCTGAGTGGACCCCAGCCGGCTGATTCAAATGAGAGCAATAATACTGTATTTCTCCTCTCAGATGGAGTGACTTGTGAAGAGCCTGCAGTCGATGATAAGCTTGTTTGATCTCGGCATGCCAAAAGCCACAATAAAGCAAACAAAGGCTTTGGAAGACGGGGCTTTACAGTAATCACGTGTGTGCGTGTGCACATACATAAACATGTGTGTAGGAAGAGCTATCCACACACATAAAGCTAGCATAACATTACCACATCCCTTTACAGTTTTATTTTGTAGGATTCTCCATTATTTTTGCAATCACACTGCAATCACACTACAATTTACTTACAACAGTTTTTTACCACACATCAAACCATGACCTTTCTTCGGTAAGAATCTTTCTATGTGCCGGCTTACTCCACTCTGGTCCGATACGACCCCCCGAATGCTAAATAGAGAAGCTTAATGTGATTTAGACTGTTTTAGTTAAAGGAATAAAAAACATTAGTAAGCATTATTTAATGAGACGTGAGTGTGGATAACGAAATGCAGAGTGGGCTTGTGGGTGGCGGATAAAGTCAGTGATATTTAGGATTCTC